TTAGGGCATATAGGACTATTTAATTTATTTACCTGGTCTTGATTCAGGTTTGGTAAGTGGAATCGATCAAGAAAATTGTCTGTTTCATTTACATTTTCAAATTTAGTGGCATATAGTTTTTTGAAGTACGACCTAATGATTGTTTAGATTTCCTTAGTGTCTGCTGTTATGTCCCCCTTTCATTTCTGATTTTGTTGATTTGGATAGTACCTTTTAGTTAGTTTGGCTAAAGGTTTGTCTATCTTGTTGATTTTCTCAAAGAACCAGCTCTTGGTTTCATTGATTCTTTGAATTGTTGTGTTTGTTTCTAACTTATTGATTTCAGTCCTGAGTTTGATTATTTCCAGTCGTCTACTCCTCTTGGGTGTGCCTGCTTCTTTTTTTCTAGGGCTTTCAAGTGAGCCATTAAGTTGCTTGAATGAGCTGACTCGAATTTCTTCTTGAAGGCACTTAGTGCTATGGACTTTCCTCTTAGCACTGCTTTCATTGTGTCCCACAAGTTAGGGTATGTTGTGTCTTCATTTTCATTGAGTTCTAGGAAGACTTTAGTTTCTTTCTTTATTTCTTCCCTGACCCAGCTGTCATTGAGTAGTGAGTTGTTCAATTTCCATGTGTGTGTAGGCTTTTTGCTATTTCTGTTGTTGTTGAGTTCCAGCTTAAGTCCATGGTGGTCAGATAGGATACAAGGGATTATTTCAATCTTCTTGTATCTGTTGAGTTTTGCTTTGTAACCAACTATATGGTCTATTTTGGAGAAGGTTCCATGAGGTGCTGCAAGGAAGGTAAATTCTTTTGTGTTTGGGTGAAAAGTTCTGTAGATGTTTGTTAGGTCCATTTGATTCATGATCTCTGTTAGAATCATTGCTTCTTTGTTTGATTTCTGTTTTGTTGACCCGTCCTTTGTTGAGAGTGGGGTGATGAAGTTTTCCACTATTAATGTATGGGGATCTATGTGTCATTTAAGTTTATTAATGTTTCTTTTACAAATGTGGGTGCCCTGTATTTGGGGCATAGATGTTCAGAATTGTGATGTCTTCCTGGTGGAATTTTCCCTTGATGAGTCTGATGTGTCCTTCCCCATCTCTTTTGATTAATTTTGGTTGAAAGTCTATCTTATTAGATATTAGAATGGCTACTCCTGCTTGGAAAACCATCTTACAGCCCTTTACTCTCAGGTAATGTCTATCTTTGTGCCTTAGGTGTGTTTCTTGTATTCAACAGATTGTTGAGTCTTGTTTACACATCCATTCTGTTAGTCTGTGTCTTTTTATTAGAGAGTTGAGTCCATTGATGTTGAGGGAGATTAATGACCAGTGGCTGTTAGATCCTCTGATTTTGATGTTGGTTGTGATAGTGTGTTTGTGTGCTTGGCTACTTTTAGTTTTTCTGTGGTAAGGTTGTTTATTTCCTGAGAGTATTTAGCTTTCTTGGGTTGTATTTTTCCTTCTAGTATCTTCTGTAATGCTGGATTTGTGGGTAGGTATTTTTTAAATTTGTTTTTGTTGTTGAATATCTTGTTTTCTCCATCTATGATGACCAATAGTTTTGCTGGGTATAGTAGCCTGGGCTGACATCTGTGTTCTCTTAGGGTCTGCATGATATCTGTCCATGCCCTTCTGGCTTTCATAGTCTCTGTTGAGAAGTCAGGTGTGATTCTGATGGGTTTGCCATTATATGTTACTTGGCCTTTTTCCCTTGCAGCTTTTAGTATTTTTTCTTTGTTCTGTATACCTAAAGTTTAGATTATTATATGTTGGGAGGATTTTCTTTTCTGGTCTAATTTATTAGGTTTCCTGTAGGCCTCTTATAGGCCTTTCCTTTAAATTGGGGAAATTTTCTTCTATGAGTTTGTTGAAGATGTTTTCTGGAACTTGGAGACTAGAATCTTCTTTTTCCTCTATTCCTATTATTCTTAGGTTTTGTCTTTTCATGTTGTCTTGGATTTCTTGGATGGTTTGTGTCAGGAATTTTTTAGATTTATTGTTTCTTTGACAGACACATTGATTTCTTCCATTGTAACTTCGACACCTGAGATTCTTTCTTCCATCTCTTGTAGTCTGTAGGTTATGCTTACCTCTGTAGTTCCTGTTTTCTTCCCTAAGTTCTTCCTATCCATGATTTCCTCCGTTTGTGTTTTCTTTAATTTTTCCAATTCTGTCTTCAGATATTGAACTGTTTTGTTGATTTCCTTCACCTGTCTGACTGTATTTTCCTATTTTCCCTTTACTTCCTTCACCTGTTTGTTTGAACATTCCTCTGTTTCTTTTATTTCTTTCAGTGACTTAATCATTTCCTCTCTGAAGGCCACAAACTGTTTGGCTGCATCTTCCTGTATTTCTTTATGGGTGGCCATGCTCTGTTTGACTTCTTCTATTTTTTTTTTTTTACAGATGGTCATAATCTGTTTAACTTTATTTCTGTATGCATTTTATTTGTTTCTTCCGTTATCCTCTTCATAAGCATAGATGTAAGGTCATCTTCTTAAATTTCACTTACATTAGGGTGTCCAGGGCTAGCTGCCCCTGGATAACTACGTTCTGGAGATGCAGTATTGTTTTGCCTTTTGTTGGTTGTGCTTTTTTGCTAGCCTCTACACGCCTGGCTGTCTCAGGTGTTGGCTGTTAGTTTCTGGTGCCAGCTGGAATCCTGAGCTGGAGAGAATCCCCTTGGCAGGAAGATCGTTGTTCCTAAAGGAGGCCTCCTCAGCTTTTTGGGTATGGTCAACTGAATGACGGTGTTTCTCAGGAATTGCCACAGCTCACCTCAGGCATATAGACCTGGGTGGTAGCTGTGGTCTTTGGTAGTCGGGAGATTCTCCTCTCACCAGGAGGAGTTCTAGAGACAGCTGCCCTACTGCTGGGTTTCTTGCTGTGAATTTAGTGAGTTGCTGTTGCTGCTCTTATGCTGTGTTTGCTGGGCACAGCCCTCCCGAAGAACCAGGGAGCCCTGCAGTTTGGTCAGTTTAGCTAGGGATAACTGGTCGCACCTTGGAGCAGTATCTGGGGGCTGATCCAGTGGCTGTGAGTCTTCTGAAGGTCTGAGGTTGGGGCTCTGTGCCCCAGTGCCTAAGTGGTAATGAGTGGCAGGTGGGCACAGCACCCGTGTGTGCAGCAGGAGGCTAGAGCCTGTGGGGGCCCAGAAACTCTTCAGGAGCTGGGTGTCCTGAGGTACCTGATGTTTCCACCACTGTGGGGTTTCCTCCTGGCAGGGAGACCCAGTCTGTGGTGTTTTGGGGGCCACAGTTCCATCTGGGATGGTGAGTAGCAGGCACAGGCGAGTGGCTCCATGCTGGAGACTGGGCACCTGCAGGAACCTGGGAACTTTTTTGGGGGGAAGGGGTCAGCTGAGTGCCCTGAGGTCAGACCTGATGTTTTCCTCACCATGGGGTTTCCTCCGGGTGTGCAGGCAGGTCTCTGGGCTGGCGCTGAGCACCTGCCAGAGCCCAGGACCTTTTCCAGGGATTGTCTGGGTGACCTGAGGTCGGACCCAATGGCTTCCTTCACTGTGGGGTTTCCTCTCACCTGGGAAACACAACACAATCCCTGGTGTTTTAGAGCCCAGAGTTCAGTCCGTTGGTCACTGTGCAGTCACTGCTGTCCTGCTCATCAGACACAGTGTGCTCCTGGCACTGCCATCTTGGATCGAAAAATACATTCTTGCGGGTAAATTCACTGGAGACTTTTCTGCCTCTCCCCAGGACGAAAGACGCAAAATCAGTAGATGAAGGTGCAGGCTTCTCCTGACATGGGGAATGTAGGCTTCAGAGTCGGCAGCTTAGAGTATCAGGTGCACCATGCTGGTATCTGAAAGGGTGTGTTTCCATGTCTCTAAATAGTCGTGGATAGAGAAATGCAGCTAGAGATGAGGGAGGCGCCGACAGGCAAAGCCCTGAGGACCTAAGTTTGAATCCCATGTAAAGCCAAACACGGTGACCCTAGCAGTCCATGGGAGAGACGGGACACGGAGGCTCACAGGCCAGTGAACCTTGGGTGTGCAGGCTGAACGCAAAGGGGCTTTGTCTCACAAGAAGGTGAACACTGACACATGAGGTTGCCTTCTAACTTCATAGGCACACTAGGGTGTGCCCAGAACACACACACACACACTCACACACATGCTCACACACACACACACACACACACACACACACACATGCTCACACCACACACATGCCCACTCACACACACGTGCCAGTCCACACGCACATGCCCAGGCACACACACATTGGTGGGATAGAAAGCTCGCTCATGCTCCTGTGACTGTCCAGGCGTGGAGTCGCAGGAGCAGTAATCCAGGCAACCATCTATGTTCTCTTGGTCTCACAACCACAGAAACAGCTCTATGAAGGGTGGAATCAACATCACTGAGGCTTTACATGCTGCTCACACTTGGGACTGAGGAACGGGGGAGACCAACATTGTCTGATGGAACAGGGGGCCTCTCAGCGGTGGCCTGTGAGTCTTCTTAGTCAGGACAGAGGCCATCGCTGGGCAGCTCCACTCTGGGCCTCGGTGGTTAAAACCTGCATCTGGTTGAAACAAAATGATTTCAGCTCAAAACAGAGGTTAGAGAACCATCAAACATGAAGCTCAGAAAACTGCAAAGGAACCCAAAGAGTAAGACAAAGGAAGATGTATAAAATCTATCGAGTTTTTTGGAAACTAAATGACTACAAAAATATCAGCTCTAAAAATACCAAAAAAAAAAAAAAAGCAAAAATTTGAATGTGAATGTCAAAACTCCAGTGTCAAAGAGGTTTTGAGGAGTAGTCGTGCTCCACCAATTATATATATCCAAGATCAGTGTGGCAGACGCTCCCTGCCAAGAGCAACGGGAAGGCTTTCAATGCCCTAAAAACTCCTTTTTCCAGTGCCTCTCTGGTGGCTCACTGTAATATAATGACCCAGGAAAAAGAAAGAGAGCCAGCTGCAGCTGGAGTGCTGTATGTATTCATATCCTAGACACATTTTATTTATAATTATCTTTTCTTCTCTCCCCAGGAAAAGCACAAAGAAGACATGACAATGGCCAAGTTAACTGAATCCATGAGTGAGTAATTTGAAATTTATTATTTACTTTTGGTTTTGAATGAAGAAATGCAAACTCATGCAAAGACCAAACCCTGTTATAACGCTCTGCTTGTGTGATCATCTCTGATTCCCGGAGAGCAAAGGTCTATCTGATTCAGTCCACGGCATTGTGTCAGTATTGCTTTACGAAATGCTCAAAACTCATTTGGGCTGGGTTCAGGTTTCCAGACTGAAACTGTTGCCCAAGAATGGAGCTAAAGAATGGAAATGGATTTGTTTTGTGTTGCTCCTTTTGGTGTTGGGAATCCACAATACTTTTGGCCTGATTCATCAGTCATGTAGCTAAGTCGGATGACGTTTCCCATGTGCTTATCCTTATCCCATGGGCTGGGTGGAGTGAAAAGAAAGGGATGCTGAGTCATCATAAAACCTTCAGGTGCCACTCAGAGCTTCCCAACGAACAAGGACAGATTGCATGAAGGGTAAGTCAGTTGCTGAGATTTTCCTTCTGAGGAGACAGGAGTCATGGTGCCCTAAACCTTTAAGCTGAATGAACAGAAATCATGGAGCATCTTTAAGAAGGAAGGAAAAATAATTATAACAAATCTCCCTGCAGATGACAAGTGCAGGTTCTTCTGTTGACATTTAAATATTAAGAACCATGAAGAGAGGGGATAAGCCGACTGTCGTGTTTGTTTTGAAAACATCCACAACTCCCCATAACGGCTTTCACGTGACTGTTCCCGAAGGCCTGCACACTTGTCTATGTTATCATCAGGGCTCTGGGCAACTTCCTTTTATTCCTTTGATCTGTGACAGCTAAGGTTGACCATTCCCCTGCAATGAAGTGCCCCGGGCTTGCATGCTTTCGGTCCTGAGACCTCACTGGGGCACTAAGGGCAGACATGGGGGCTGTAGTCTGTGATGGTGGAGGAGCCGCAGCACCCTTGGAAGCTCAGTGTGCTCACTCTGTGTGGTTAAGGAGGAACGCAGGGCTCCTGCACACAGCTGAGTGAGGAGGTAAATGTAGCTCATCTCTGTAGGGGGCAGTTTTTAGGGTGTGAACATTGTGGGAGAGAGCTCTGGCGGACATTTTCTGCACACTGTCAGCACTCACGCTCAAACCAGATAAAGGTTTGGATAACCCTCCAAATCTCACTCAGGAAAAGCTTTGGCATGTCTGCAGGGCTGAGGCTTTGGTCCTCGACACAGTGGTGCCCATGTCAACAATACAGATTCACTCAAGACTTCGTTCGCCCCCACAGCAGGGTCAAAGGTCTTAACAGCTCCATCCCTAGATGAGAGGCTGCCAAATGACTTTATTACTGCTTTCCTTTAACTCCTGATGGCAAACTGTGCAAGTTCCAGTAAGACCTATCCTAGGCTGATGTCAGTGTGGCCAGCAATTACACAAGCAGAGGAGCAGATGAAGCAGAAGCCTCCTTGAGCTCTTCACTCTCTCTCTGTACCACTCTTTGCCCTGCTCCCTGCTCCATCTTGCTCCACCTGCGGACTTGCACAGGCTCAGAACATTTCCGGTGTGGTCTGAGGCACCACAAACTGGGTCTTTATAATGAAAAGCCTCTCAGACAAAACAGCATGTCCTCTTGTAAGATCTGGCATGAAACCGAGTCATGCAACTTTCACACTGTGTTCAAACATAAAGAGGGACTGCAGACAATGGCCACTCCTTCATTATCACAGGCAAAGACTGTCCTACTCTCTGCATCTTAACGACCAATGTAAATGGTCCTTCTTCGTCTCCTTCTCCTTCTCCTTCTCCTTCTCCTTCTCCTTCTCCTTCTCCTTCTCCTTCTCCTTCTCCTTCTTCTTCTTCTTCTTCTTCTTCTTCTTCTTCTTCTTCTTCTTCTTC